GTTTTTAAACTCCAAAAATGGAGAGCAAAAGAAATAGTGGTTCAGCTTTCAGCCACACTGGTGACTTATTCATCTCTTATGTGGCTCATTTAATTGTTTTATAATGCATATTCTATGATTTCTTACTGTATTCCTCTGTATCTTGATCACAGTCTCTCTGGTTAAAAATCCTTTGGATCAAACCAAGGACTAGTGGAACACAATCTTGAGTATTCTCTGCTCCCTTTGTAAAATGCATTTTCTTTAAGAATGCATCAATTTTTTTTTTTTTTTTTTTTTTTTTTTGGTGATACCTTGACCTTTACATTTCAGTTTAGCAAAACTTTAGAGAAAACGCTGGAGTACTTTGCAGAATAAAAGTCATAATTTCATCAAAATTCCAGGATAAATGATCTCATGTTCTCAGGATGATGGTACCCATAAGCTGTACTATAACTACCCGAGCTCCCATAAAACATGAATTTAAGATCATTTATTTTTTAAATAGGCTCCATTTTGCAATTTTTAGCTCTCCCTCAGATTCAATACAGGGGTTTTTTTTTGATTACAGCTGTGCTTAAATTCATCTTCTTGCTTCTACATTTTGTTTCCCTTCATGTCACCGCTGAAAAATCCATCTTTCCTACGTTTTAGTATTAGCTTTGATAACATCATTGAGCTGCCTTTTCCTGGTGATAAATATCTTTAAAGTTTGTCCTACTCACACTGATAAAACTCTCACAGGGTTATTGCTGAATTGCCAGTAGTGCTGATTTTCAACTTTAGTCCATTCTGATAAAGACAAAATAAAAAATTTGTGTCAAAACACAAGTCAGAGTGACCTACTTAAACACAGCCACTTACAAAGTTACTGGGATATTTTTAAAACATGCTAAAAGCTGAAACTCAAAATTTCTGGTGTGAATCAGAGGATTTCATATTTCCAGTGTCCTTCAGAGGAGTAACCCAAGTACTACGGCACTTGCTGTTCCAGGATGGTTTCCAGACATCCCAGTGTAAATTGAAGGAAAAAAAAAAAAATTGTTGGAAATGTTTCACAGCCCTTCCCAGGCATTTCTGGGCTTAACTTGTTCTGCTCTTTTCTCCTTCCTTTCCCATTCACCTCCTTTCATTACAACCCTGCAAAGTTTTCCCAATTTAAGTTCAACCCTCTGACCTTTAAAAGAATGCCACAGCTTTTTCTCCTTCCTGAACCTCAGAAATCTTGAAAAATAACATTTAGCCTCGTTGCCTGTTACTTGATTTCTTTCTAGGGTCAATTCTTTTTACTTATTCAGGAACTTTGGCTTCTTCCCTTCAGTTTTTACAGTTTCTTAAAGAATTGCTGAGCAGACCTCAGTCTCCTCCTTATTAAAGGCAATGGGACAGTCTCAGCTGGTCACTCTAGGAAAGGGTGCTGAGCAGTATGAGAGATCTCAACATTCAAGCAGAAATTATGCTCTGTTTTCTCTTTTCCCTTTCCTTTTGCCTTTATCCTTGCTTTTAACCTTTTCTTTTTAATCTCTTTTCCTTTCCACCCTTCTTTCCATTTTTTTTTTCTTCAGCACTGACCACCTGTAACAGGATAATTCCACAGTTCTCTACCAATCTGGATGCCAATATAACATTTAACAGAGGCCATCAGGGCTGTGTCTGACCCTGATTCCACTTCTTCAGCCTGATCCTGACTCCCAAAAAGCAAGCAAACAATGACACCCTGCAGCTCTCTTTTACTCCTGCGCACAATTCACACCCACTAAAATCTATGAGTTTTGTGCTTGTTCCCAGCAAACCCTGTAGACTCTGTGGTTTTATAGGTTTCATCCTGGATTTATAAGAAACTCAGCACTAGAGAGTTAAGCTTTTATTTTGGTTTTTTAAGGGAAACGAAAGTACCCAATTTTAAAAAGACACGAACCAATCCCTCACTCCCAAATGCTGCTGTCAGAGATAAGAGTCTAACCTCCACCAAGTACTGGGCTTTAAAGGCAGTTTGTTAGTCAAGGGCAGGCCAGAAAGCACTAAAACACTAAAAAAAACCCCACACCCCATATTTTCCAAAGCCTGTGAATTAACACAACAAACAAATAAAACTTTGAGATGAGACTGGTTTTTAAAGTAGCATTTGTGGTTTCAGTTTCTCAGAAGCCACCAATATAATTTTCATTAAAGATTAACTTTCCCTCCCCTAAAAAAAAGAAAAAAACAAACCACAAAACCAACAAAAAAACATTAGTAAAGTGTTGCTCTTTCCAAAATAGCCTATTCATATTTCTCCACTGTGGATCTAACCCAATACTCACATAACAAATTAAAATCCCTGGAAAAAGAGGCTTAACAGAGGCTTTCCTTTCCTGAGCTGACAGTTAAAATAATAAGAAAAAGGTAATTTCCTTATTTCCCTTCCATTGTCATTTAACTAAATTTTTCCCAGCTTCCAAAAGCACTTCATTTAAAAATAAATTAAAGTCAATTAAAAGAAAAAAAAAAAGGAACAAAGATAAAAGTGGTGAGGTGTTCATGACCGTGATACACACACCTGTGGGTGGAACCTGAATCCGAATAAATCACTCATATAATTCTGGAGTGTTTGATAAAATCTGTGCAGGATCTCGAGGTGATGAATAGAAAGAATGCAGAAATAGATGTATATGTATTCATAGTGCCCTTATTATAGAATTGTTGAGGTTGGAAAATATCTCTAAGATCATCAAGCCCAACCATTCCCCCAGCACTGCCAATGCCAGCGCTAACCCATGTCCCCAAGTGCCACATCCACACACTTGTTGAACACTTCCCAGGATGGTGAATCCACCACTGTCCTGGGCAGCCTCTTCCAATCATCAACAACTATTTCTATGAAAAAAAATTTCCCTACTGTCTAATCTAAACCTCTCCCTGTGCAACTTGAGGCCGTTCCCTCTCCTCCTGTCCCTGTTCCCTGGGAGCAGAGCCCGACCCCCCCCCAGCTCCCCACTCCTGTCAGGGATTGCAGAGCCAGAAGGTCCCCCCTGAGCCTCCTTTTCTCCAGGCTGAGCCCCCCCAGCTCCCTCAGCCCCTCCTGCTGCTCCAGCCCCTTCCCAGCTCCGTTCCCTTCCCTGCACACTCTCCAGCCCCTCGATGTCTCTGTGTCCTCTACCCCAGTGCATGTGTGGGCAGGGATCTGTTCTCTGGGACACAGGGGAGTCTAAATACCATTTTAACCACTGCATTTTAGGGCAGTGAATTGAGTCAGTAAATTCTACCTTTTTAATCACAGAGAAATAATAATCAATGCCTTTGTAAATGGCCTGAAAAGCTACAGATAGAAATTGTGCTGTAATATTAATGATCCACATTCATGCCTGGCATAAATTGTTTAAGCTTCATCAGCTCCATTGAATTTGGGCCCATTTTGTCTCCTGAACTTCTGCTGCACAATTTGTACATGATTTAAAGTTCTCAACATTGAAAACATATTTTTTGTTAATTTTTTTTTAATACTCACAGGTTTTCTTAGATTTGACAAAATACAAAATAGAGTAATAACTTTGAGGAACAGGGACTTGCTCTTAAGTTTTGAATCTCAGCATTAACAAGCTGATGTCATCAAGAGGTACTTAGTCCAGAGTTTATAGCACTTAGTTATAATTCAAATTATATTGAAGAGTACAATAAATATGGAATATAAGTATTTACTGGACCTATTATTGATCTATATAATGGCACTTTACACCTGCCAGTGAAAGTTAATTCTACTGGATGTTGTGGATCTACCGGTGTTGCACATGGCAAAACTTTCTAGTCATAATCACAATCTCAAGAATCCACACTTCAGCTATAATTTCTAATAAAACCTACTGGAATGTCAGAATGAAAGAAGAAATTCTTGATTTGGGTCACTGGGATTTATCTGTGCAAATAAGGATTGGGGTCCCTATTAGGGCTAAAAGATATTAAGCTGGGCACAACAATAACACAAGTAACATTAAATCATCCCAACATATTTTTTTAGCTTATTTTGTCGATTCCCGTTCTCAAAGTGAACACAGAGACTGCCAGAGCCCCAAAAGTTTTTGCTTTTCCATCTCATAGGGAAAGGCCTGACTTCTCTGTCCAGAAGTTATATTTGTTGCATTCTGAACTGATGCGATTTTCATTTGTTCCCTCTAAAATGATCTTGATGATTTGAAATCCCAGATGAGCAAGTGCAATCAGGTGGGGGAAGATCAGCTCAGACATTTTCAGCCAACCATAATACATGAATCTATAACACACCTGGTCACCTGGTCAGGGAGTGGAGACCTAAAGGCAATAAAATTGAAAGCGTGATTCATCTGAAAAAATATAGACCATTGCTTCACGATGAGAGCACTGGGCTGTGCTGAATTATTGAGATCACATAGCAACAGAGAGTATTGAGTATAAAGGTGTTTAAAATGACCAGCTTAGATGTCATCACCTACATTTAGATGAATCCAATCCCTGCTCTGTCAAGGTAAAAAAAGAAAGAAAGAGGGTTTTTTCCCCCCAGTCTACCAATCCAGCAAACTTTTCTATTTTTATATAATCTACATATTTTATATAACCTAGAAGACTTTTATATTTTTTTTCAATCAGATAATACATTTTCAGTTGCTCATATTTATTTTTCAGTGAAAAATTGTTCTGTTTAGAAACACAGTTTCAGTCATCAACAAGTACATTCACCTGCACAGACCACAGAGTAATGTTTGTAATGATTTTCTAGAGACACATAATACATAATCAACCGACTCAGAAGAAAAGACAGTGCATTATTTATTCAAATCTAGAAACTTTGATGAAGCAGCCCAGTCTTGATGGGTTACTGAATCCCTTCTCAGTATGACAGAATTGAGCAGAGAATAAAAAAAACCATCCACGGTCACGAATTTATTTGTTTGTATCTTGTTTTCCAGCACAGATTTCCCTCCGAGTTACAGATCTCAGGGAATTAACCGAAAGTTTTAGGTGACCAAATAACGGATATTTCAATAAATCAATAATCCCAACAAACTTACCTGTCTCAGAGAGCAGTTTGGTAGCTTCCAGCACCTTCTCAGTGTAAACTCCAGTCTCGTAGTTTTCCATCTCGGCGTTGATGATGTGAATGACTCTGGCTGCGCGGCCCCGGATGGCACCCGCGGTTCTGTCCAGCGTGTCCACATCCCCCTCTTGGAGAGCAATCACACACTTATTCACATCTTCCAGGATGTGGTTTTCTAGGATGGAGGGGGGAAAAATACAGCTCATTTAATTTCCCTCTTCCTCGTAGCAAAGCTTAGAGATTTGGGTGAACAGCAAATGTCAGTGCATTAAAAAATTGCTACCTGTCTTTATCCAGGCCTGCAAAGCAAATGCTCTTCTGGGATATTATGCCACATAACAGTAAAATTCCCAAGTGGGATATTTATCTTTAACAGGGACTGGACTACATCACCTTACCTGTACCGTGAGTCCCAGCCTGCAATTCTTCGAAAACCAGTCCCATTAATTTCAACCATCACACTGAATTTTGGTATAATAAAAATCAGTGCAAAAAGGAAGGTGGTAAAACATCGTGCAGATTCTCTAATAAACAGTCTGAAGATGAATTTACACACTCCCACGAAATTTAATATGTTCGGTTCATTTGTGCCTAAATGAAAATAAATAGTTTTGAAAACACAACAGCAAATGGCCTTTGTAGATAGCAGGGAGCCTGGGCATGAGCAGCTCATCTCCTGCACTCCATCTAGGCCAGGAAATAAGCTCTGAATTTTTCATGACACACACTATAATTATATGTGACTGTGCATATTCTGAAATAGGAGTTAACAACAGTGAGTCTGCTCAGATGAGTTAATATTGACCAGCTTTATTGGATTCTTGGGAGCTGCACTGTTTTTTTTTGGCTCAGCACCGTGTGCTGTGATATCATAATCTATGTAGTATTCTCATATAAATAATGTGAAAGGATGAAGCAGATTTTGATTAGGTCAGGCATTATTTCCCAGCAGTCAGGAGAGTCAAAATAATTCCAATAAGACTATAACTGAATTTCATATTTGACCAAACTCAGTCTGAGACACTTAGCAACTCTAAAAACCACCCTGCTTTTCTGTTACAGACACCTCTAAACTGAAAATGAAATGTTGTTCGTTGTAGTAGCAATAAAACAGAATTAATCAGTTCACCAACTGCTCTTTGTTAATTATCCTTGGCCACTAAAAAGAATGACTCACTAATCCTCACTGTTAAAAATCCCAAGGTTGGATCATTTGAGAGTTTCAGAAATGTATTACATGATGCTGAATTTTACACTTTAACAACTATGGATGGAAACTGAAAGTCCCCCGAGATGTGAATCTGAGTAACTTGCAAGGCAAAATCCTTTGTTTAAAGAACTCCCTGTACAGAATTAAAAAGCATTGCTGGGCCGAAATTTTTCTTCACTCTTTTGTTCTCACAAACATCATCAGTTGCTTTTATGACGCCACAACCAACTTTTGCCCAACAAGAAGTGCTACATGGATTTGAACAGACGCTGCATTTGGCATATGAGATAATTTATTAAAATCATGGTCAGCTTTCTTTTAGTAGCTATCCTATTGATAAAACATACCATGAATGTGACACTCAATATGAAGAGGAGGAGGTGTCATTTCAGGAGCTGCATTTAATCAGGCAGTAGCATTTAGAATGGTTCACTGGTTTAACATTCAAAAACAAAACTACCCTGTGTGAGCTGAGGCTTCCAAGCTTACAGTAAGCAAGCAACAGGATTTGTGGATACATGTCATGTTTATTAGAATAAAAAAAAAACCAAACAAACTCAATGGAAGTTATACTTCCCAGCCACTTTGGAAAGTTTGGATCTAAGTCAAGACTAACTTAGAAGGAAAAATGATTTGAGAAAAAAAAATTAAAACCCTCATCATCCATTCCACTGACTTCTGGTTTATGGATAAAAGCACTTGGAGTAAACAAAGTTCTCAAGCCAATCAGGAAATGGCTGCTTGAGAAAGTCTGCCAACTCTTTGGCTTGTGGACTGGGTCAGCAGTTTACAGCCTGGTTTGCCCTTTCACTGCAGAGCCAGGTCTGCTGAAAAGTGTTTGTTGGTTTCAAATCTCAAATAAAAATCAATGTGCTCCCAGATTCTGAAGTACCCTTTTGCTCTGACAGTTCATTTTCATTTTCTTGCCATGGCTTGCAGTAAGCACTCTAACAGGGCTGGTGAACAGTGGAGGGTAATTAACTGAAAGTCCAACCATTTTCCTGTTAATAATAGGAGCAGGATACAACTAAACAAAATAAAGGGCAGGACAAAGAGGAAAGTTAGGGATTTTTAAAAAGTATAAGTCGTTTTTTTTTTCCTCCAAATCTCACAAACTTTTATTAGAAAATTTAGGTAACATCAAGGAAAGCAACGTAGATGGAAACATAACATTTTGGCCAGACCAGCTCATGAAGTTTGCCTCTTCTGAGACATTCAGGTAAGCCAAGCACTCTTGGCACACTCTGTGTCCTTCTTCACAACAATGAAATTCACCTTTCAAACTGAAATAGGAAAATGAGTTTTCTGCAGCAGACAATTACCCAGGACACGCAGCAATCTGCAATTACCCTGCTCGTTGTGTATGACTATATCATAACAATCCACTCTGCCACAAGCTGTGGCACTTCACAAGGAGGATGGAGAAACGACTGTGACCCAAAGAGTCAGTGTCCTTCTCTTCTCCATCCCTTCTTTCTGTAAGGACTAAGATGCTTTGTTTACTTCCACAGAAAATCTTGCTTTGCATTGTAAGCCTCCCTAGTGAGGTCTGAGAAGTGCAAAAATTTGCTGTTTCTTGCACCACTCCTCTCTCTCTGGTTTTATTGTTACATCAATAACTGAGACCTAGAAGTGCTTCCCAGCTCTCTGCAAATGTACACACTGGTCATGTCTGACAACACACCCAGACAAGAATCACAGAATCACGGAGTCATTAAGGCTGGAAAAGGTCTCTAAGATCCTGGAGTCCAACAATTAACACTGTCAGGTCCATCACCAACATCTGCAGCACCTGTGTATCTCCCTTCTTCCTATCCCTCTTCAGGGCCTGGTGACCTGGTGCAGATGGTCAGGGGGCAAGGACTGTAAGGTACATCTGCCCCACTGTACAGACACAGCTGAGCTGAGCAAAGCTACAGAATGAAGCAAGGAGAGTGTCAAGGCCAGGTTGGATGGGGCTTGGAGCGACCTGGTCTAGGGAAAGGTGTCCCTGTCTATGGCAGGGGGTTAGATGATCTTTAAGGTCCCTTCCAACCCAAACCATCCTGTGAATCTATAATTCTATAAAGTTCATCTTTCCTCCTCTTGCCTACAACTGTAAAAGGATTCTAACAAGTTCTACAAATACTGTCAGCCTGTCACTGGTCTGGAATGCATTTTTAAAAAGGGGCTAAAATCCTACTTTGGGACTGAGTTGAGACAAAACTTCTCTAGAAATAGAAGTGCAAATAGGATGCTATTTTCTGGGAGGTGAAAAGCCAATCATTGCTACCAGGGATTAATTGACATGGTGTGGCTGCTCCTACCGAGTGCAAAAGATCAGCATTCCCACAGACACAGACTAATGGATCAATGATGCTTTAGCAATTATAGCTTTTATTCACTCTGACCCATTACTTCAGTTTAGGAGTATATTTTTAGAAGAGTCCCTTGTTCTCGGTACCTGAAACAGAGAGGAAATCATCCACCGAAGTGATGTCATCAACAGCTTCAGTGAGGACTCGCACCTGCTTCTCCCACTGATCCTTAAACACATCCATGTTGTCCTGGGCTACTTTGCTCTGGGGTCTGGCAGCCAACGTGAGTGCAGCATTTATCACCTGTTATTCAAACCCAGTTGTTAGGAGAAGGGAAAGTTGTTTTCACAACAGAAAGAGCAAACAGATCACGGGCCGTGTTAAAAATGCAGCATTACAGCCCCTTTGACACGTGGGGCTCGAGGTACGAACGAATTTTTCACAGGCAACAACATCACGACAAAACCAAGGTTATAATCTTCACCCAGGCTGTTTTCCCTGTCTCAGCTAACTGATGCTTTTAAATGCTCAAAGAGTTCTCGGGTACTTTTTTAGTAGGAATCTTACTTACCTGTGGGCACAGACTATCAATCTGCGTGGCTGCCATACGGACTAACTTCACCCCTTCTTCATTATTTGAGATTGAACAGGCCAGATTTGCAACCTGCAATGAAATCAGCAGATGAGAATCAAGTTTTGGGTAAGTGAGCCATTAGGGCCATGCCTTTCTCTGCTCCTATCGAGCCTTGCCTGGAATGAAAGAATTGTGTACAAGAGGAATAATACATCATCTTCTGTGCTGGGGAACAGAAACACGTGTAGATTATTTCCTTACCAGCAAACTGAACTACCCATCTTGTTTAGATTTTTCTCAGAGTCTGCCCTCACTGCCAAGTGTTTCACATCCTCCTCTAGAGGTTGAAAATTATCTCCCGAGAAGTCACGCAGAGAATGCAGAGCACCCAGACAATGATCTCAACATTTCCTTTTCTCACAGTTTCTTTTCTTTTCTTATTAACCAGGTCCAAATGAATGTAGGTAATCAGGTGCATCCATATACTCTGAGCTTTTCAAAATACAGAATCTTTGCAATATTAACACATGGAACTGTACTTTTCCATCCATAAGCAAAACTCTGGGAAGCTACATACCTCTCCAATATTTTCATTGTTTCAGATCCTGACGGTTTTATGAGGGGTTTATTTCAACTCTCAGGTGGACCTCTTTATTTCTGTGTGGTTGCCTGCTCTACAGTAAGACATCCACCCTGACAGTGATGTGAAATGTCTCTGGTGAAAGCCTCATTCTGTAACATATGCCTGAAGATCTCATTCAAAGATCTCTGCATCTGCATTTGCTCCCTCTGGCACAGCTCTGGGAAGTCTCAACCTAAGACTGAAGGCTATTTGGATAAGATGAAGACAGAGGAGACTTAGAGAGACATCTGAATGGGATCCAGCAGTCAGACCATGTCTCCAGAGCTGCATCTCTGTGGCTTGGATTCAAGTGGAAGAGCATGTTCTCCCCGCTCATACAGTTCTTCCAAAAAATTCATTCCCAAAAGCTTTGACCAAGTCCACGAATCTGTCGTGGTTTTCCAAAGAGCAGTTCATGGCACAGTGCACATAATTAAGCTCATCAGTGATATTTAAATCACAAAGGTACATTCTGGGACGGGGGAATACAGGATATTTTTTTTTTTAATCATCAAAAAGTATGGCTTTTAATTCTAATCTACATTAAAACAAACTTATAAATTTTAAATATGCTTCCTTGATATTCTTCACTGTGCCTGTAGGCATAACTATCAGCTGGAAATGATTCATGAATTAGTTCAAATACCCCCATCCTTCCAATTTTCCTCCAGTCTCCCCTTGTGGCATTAAACTGTTCTCATCTCCAGTGCACATCCCCGCATTAGCCCTGATCCATCTGTTCTGCATGGAACCTATTTCCCTTCACAGTTCTGGGGAACGTGGTCTGCATATATCACAGCGCCAGAGCTCAGGAAGGAGAAGAACCCAAGGCTTCAAAGAGTCCTGCAGGCACTTTCCTAGTCAAGATTTTATCACAGTGCTGGGATTTTTATTTTCATTCCATGATGAGACAAATGAGTTCGTCTGTTTGTTAACAGCCTTACAGCCCTCATGTCAAAAGCCTTCTCCTGAGCTGACGTCTTCCAGTTAAGTCACCATTTTCTGTAGTCACTTCTTTGCACACATCAAACAGAACACTTTAATCTTCACCAGAAACAAAAGCTAAGCAGGATGATAATTAGAATGCATTAACATGAGTGGAAATTACAGGCCTTAAAGACTAGTAAATAATGTTAAGTTCAGCAAGTGCCATCTTCCTGTATTTGAAATAAGTGGCTTTTCAGATTGCCCTTTCATTTTGTGATTATCCTGATGGGAATTTGTCCTAAGGCTTCAGATCCAACATACACCTTATTTTTTCACAGAGAGCACTGTACGGGGCTGGGTGTCATGAAATGGCAATCAAACCATGAAGCAGGTCTTTGAGTTCTTCTGGAAGAGATTTTGGCAGATATAATCAGTAAAAATGAAACCTATTTTGTCTCTGTTAATTACTCTTTCAACAGAATCTGATGAGACAGTATCTGAATGTTGTAAAGTGCCCTGTTTTCCAAGGAGGGATTCAGACATAACCAGAGAAAACTTTCTCCTTTATTTGTAAAACAGAGTTCAGTACATTGGTTTGGGTGCTCCTACCAATACAGGAGTAAAAATGTAATCTATTGCTGCATTAAATATGCATCAAAAGAGCATTACAGCTATCTATTTAAAAGAAATAGTGATACATATCATGTATAATCCTTACATGATGAGCCCAATAGTTTCTGTGGTTTATTTCAAGACTTGCATAAATATACCACTGTGTCATCAGCAGTCAGAAAGCAATCCCATGTCACAATTCAGCCTGCACCATGGGGAGATATGATTATGGCAAACAAGTACAGAGATAAGCAAATTCCACAAAGGTAGATGCAATCTGGATAAAATTGAATTTAGCACTGCAAATCAGAAACACTATGACTTTTCCCAAAATTGAATTTTAAAACATGGCAAGAAATAGCCATTACTTGCTCAAGTCTGCATTTTAGTGCCACTGCATAAGCACGGATCTGTGAAACAGTACAAGTTCTAAGTGCACTCAGTCACCAGATACCACACTATTTAATTATTTTGATTGACTCTGTTATCAAGTAGAAAGTCAGGTCACTATTCCTGGCACAGCGAGGTCCACATGGATGCTCTTCATTGACAGAAACCATGAGGTAATTCACCAGGCTTTAGTTGACTATAAATTCAGCAACTTCAGGTATTTTTCCTATCTAAAACTATGACAAGAGAAGCTTAGACCCAGTTCCACCCCTCTTAGCTGAGACACTTTGACTAGGTGCCAAACTGACTCCTTTGGATAGTGGATAAAAAGAGGAATGCCCTTCCAGAGGCTGTTTTAGGTCTCTGGTTGACTCTCTGATCCTCTAGATGTGTCTAGTCTATTATTTAAACTTAGCTGGCCCTGATGATTGTTGAAAAAGGTATTACTGAAATAAAAGAGGTTTTAATGGTGCATTATAACTCGTTTTGCATGGGCATAGTTAATACAACAGACTCCTCAAGGTTGGGAATTTGTTAATTATGCCATTCCTGAGCTGGATGGAGCAGACAGCTGGGAAAGGAAAATAAAAAGGCTGTAAATTACCACAGCTGCCAATTACCAAAACTTGGATTTGACAGCCTCTACCTTTATGCTTCAAGTGCTCTATCTCCACCAAAGCATTGAAAAGAAGGTTTCATGAAAGGCTGTGGAAGCAACCAGGTAATTAATTTTTTTCTTTCTTTCTTTCCTTTTTTTTTTTTTTTTTCTGTTTACTAAGTTCCTTGAGCACCCTGAATTCACTGAGTGCCATAAAGAACTTAAGATTGTATTAAGATTAATGTGAACTGTCTGAAGAGTATTTATATGAATGAATACATTTTAAATGCCACAATCAATGAACTGTGAATCATCCTCGAACTGCGTGGAGAACTTAATAACAGTGAAACTGCTGTGCAGATAAACATTATTGTCCAGAATTTCAGGTCTGCTAAGCTACTCTTATACCATCAAAACAATTGCTGAACACCTTAAACCTGTCCTGCAAGAGCATGGAAAGGTAATGAGCAAGAAAATAAACACTCCAGGTGCTGTATTTTTCTGTAATCACTGAACCAGCCCTAGAACTGGGGATGTGAAGAAGAAGGTACCAACTGCTTCATATTCATTCCCATCACTGGCACTGACAGCACAAGATGCAATTGTGCACCTTGCCAGGTATCCCTCTTTAATCATGTAAAGAGTTCCAGTAGTTTCAGTTGTTTAAAACACATACAGGACCAGTCACAATAAAATACATCTGCATGTAGTTGGTTGCATTTCAGCTTCGTTTTCTTGCTGGATAGCAGACTGGGCTGGGGAGGGACTTGGTTTCTAATGCAAATTTTTATTATTCTTTGTGGTGTCTTGATCCTGGTTGAACCTCAGGTACCAAAACCACTCTGTCACTGCCCTCCTCAGATGAGGAGGGGAGTGACAATGCAATGAAAGGCTTGTGGGTCGAGTTCAGGGCAGCCAGAGATCATTCACAGTGACTATCATGGGCAAGACAGAGTTAACTGTGGGAAACCAGCTTAATTTATTACCAATCAAATCAGAGTAGGATAATGAGAAATAAACTAAATCCTAAAAACACCTTCCCCCGCTCCCTTTTCTTCTTCCTGCACTCAGCTTCACTCCCAAATTGTCTCCCTCCTCCCTCTTAGTGGCACAGGGGATGGGCAATAGGGTTTGTGGTCAGTCCCACATGTTGTCTCTGCTGCTCCTTCCTCCTCAGGGGTTGGACTCCTCACACTCTTCCCACTCTGGTGTGGGGTCCTCCATGGGCTGCAGGTGGATCTCTGTTCCCCCTGGGCCTCCCTGGGTGCAGGGGCACGGCTGCCTCACCATGGGCTGCCCCTCGGGCTGCAGGGGAACCTCAGCTCCCATTCCTGGAACACCTCCTGCCCCTCCTGCTGCTCCCACCTGGGCTCTGCAGGGCAGTTCCTCTCACACATCCTCATTCCTTTCACCAGCTGCAGTTACTGTTGCCTTGTTTTTCCCTCATCTCACACACATTACCCCAGAGGTGCCACCACCACCTCCGATGGGCTTGGCCTTGTCCACTAGTGGGTCCATCCTGGAACCAGCTGGAATTGGCTCCAGGGACATGGGGGAAGGTTCCAGCAACTTCTCACAGAAGCCATCCCTGTAGCCCCCCCTGCTACCAAAACGTTGCTGTGTAAACCCAACAGACCATTGTTGAAAGGCCATGCCAAGGACAGGATTTATCTAAAGATACTTTGATATGACAATTGATATGACAATTGATATTGATATGAGAGTTGATGTGGCAGCTCAGAGTGCAGGCCCTGCTGGGGTGGGCAGCACCTACACTATTTTTTTTCATTAGGAAGCAACTGAAGAGTGGATCAGCATTTTTTCATTACTTTTGTCATCCATACTATTCAGGACAGGAAAGCTTCGTTTCTGCCATAAAACTGCCCTCCAAGTTACAAAAGTAATCAAGGATCTTTCATATTAATTTACTTCATTTTTGCA